GGTCCTCTTGTAGATCTCATATATCAGCGACTGCTCCTGAGCGTTGGGTTCCACTTTGAAGACGGACTGGGCGCTCAGTATCTGCCGGTGCTTCTTTCTTTCTGCCCCACCAGCCAGGATCTGTTTCTCCTCCTCATTGGCGGCCTGTATGGGATTCACAGGAGCGGATCCAGTGTTGGTTGCATTTCTGGCCGCCATAAGGAACAGAGCACGCGTGATTTTTTTGTACTTTTCATCGACTTTCTGCTCCAGCCACACCACCACCTCCATGGAACTGGTTCCCACCCAGCTGACGTGACCGGATAGGCGAATGTCCTGTGTGCCAGATGCCGTGACATCGGTGAAGTCTATCCGGTCCACCAGTATGGTCACAATGGTGTAGGGCAGAGGCACTCCCTTCGGCAAATTGGGAAGTTTTAAGTGCCTATGGCAACACCAAGCTGGTAAGGTTTATTAATAAAATTACTAACGAAGAAGCTTTTGCTCAATATAAAAGTTTACCGGCAAAATAGTCCATGTCCTCCAGAAGCCTGCCCAGGCGAACGAAGCCTCTGAAGTTTATATACTTGTCCTGCAGCATGGGATTCTTGCTCAGAGGAATGATGGCCGAGGAGAAGGAGTCCTGCATGGATCGTGCAGGCAGTTCCTCGATCTTGGGTTGGTACTGAAGGAGCTCTTCCCTGCACTTTGGCTCCCGGGTGTAGCCGGGCTCTAGGCCCAAGCTCTTCATCATGTCCTCCTTGACTGGAAGGATGACATGGTTATCTTGTATTTAATGAATATTTAGTACTTACTCTCCGCCATAGTGCAGTTTGGATTGTCTACCGAGGTTTTTTTGATGTCATTGCCCGAAGAATTGTAACGCCTTTGTCAGGGTGGAAGAACCGTTTCGTAAAAAACTATTCTTTCTGGATTGATCACTCACCTGGACTTTTTACTGGCCAACAGCAAGAGGTTCCTGGCCATAAGAAAGCCCCGGCACTTACGGGCTCCAAGCAATGCAGGTAGCATTAAAATTTTTACAATTTTTATAACCAGGGCTCATCGAAACAGTTTTTAGATCTGGTTCCAAATCTGAAACGTAGTTACAACTATACATTTTGGTTCCCCTTCGATTTTTGGTCATCAATACATGAACAAAATGATAAATTAAGAGAAACAAAGAAGTATTTTATATATTGGAACTTGATAAATAGTGATTTTTTATAACTATTAGGGTGGTTAAAAGCAAAAAAGGTTTGCAAATTTCAGGACAAGAATTTAGTACCCTCAAAGGGGCTCGAAAGAGTTTCCAGGTTAGTGAACTGACAATATTTATTGCTTTCTATAAACACAGAACTGGTAATATCATTTATGTATCTCACAGGATAGCCTCGCTTAATATCATTGAGAACATTCAGTAGCATCTACGGATCTATTTCAAGCCCATGCTGGCCTCGAACTTGCGACGACCTTGGATGTACCACATGGTTTCGTGGTAGGACCGGGGAAGGACTTCAGTAACTGTGTCCGGAGACGAGAAGGTGTAGTAGAACGTGTTGGTGGTCACCTGGCTGCCCGTGTGTGTATCTAGGACATCCGCAACGGTCATGATCTGCACGTAGTTGAGCTTCGTGTAAACCACGTAGGCCGTCATCTTGATAAAACTATCCACGCCCACGGGCTTCTCGAAACTGATGTCCGAGATGTGCTCCAGTCTGGGTCGCGATTTGCAGTAAAGGAAAGCTGCTGCCCAGCTAATCTCCAGGGCACTTCGCATAAGGAAGCCTCCGAAGACCCGGTTGTGGTGGTTCCTGTGCTCCGGGAACGAGGGAATAGTGCTCATCTGGAAGGAGTCCTCCATCCAACGGCAGTTCGGCGGCAGGATGCGCTTGTTCAGCTCTAAAGTGTTGCTGGGAGTCGTCCTCTTGTAAAGCTCGTACATGAGAGTCTGCTCGGGATCGTTGGGCTCCACCTTGAAGACGGACTGTGCGCAAAAATCTGTCGCTTCTTCTTTCTGTCTGCGCCACCAGCGAGAATCTCCTTCTCCTCCTCATTAGCCGGCTGTATGGGATTCACAGGAGCCGCTCCCGTGTTGGTGGCATTTCTGGCCGCCATGAGGAACAGAGCTCGGGTGAGCTTTTGATACCGTCCAGCTACCATCTGCTCCAGCCAGACCACGACCTCAATGGAACTGGTTCCCACCCATGAGACATGGCCGGAAAGCCGAATGTCCTGGGTACCTGAAGCCTGGACATTGGTGAAGTCGATGCGGTCCACCAGAATGGTCACAAAGGTGTACGGCAGGTGAACTCCCTCTGGCAGGTTCGGCATTTCAGGTGCTTATGACAGCACCAAGCTGGGGAAATAGATCATTAGAACATTGGTCACAATTCAAATGAAAAGTCCCTTACCAGCAAACATATCCATGTCCTCCAGCAGTCGCCCAAATCTCACGTGGCCCAGATAGGTCACATACTTGTCCTGCAAAGTGCGATCCGTGCTCAGGGGAATGATGGCCGAGGTGAAGGAGTCCTGCATGGCTCTCGGTGGCAGATCCTCCAACTTTGGCTGGTACTTGAGCAACTGTTCCCTGGATTTTGGGAGCGGGTTGTAGCCGGGCTCTAGACCCAGTCTTTTCATCATCTCCTGCTTGACTGTGGAAGTTAAGGTTTAAGGATGGTTTCGATTCCGGTGGAAAGAAGGCACTTACTCTCAGCCATGGTTCCGGATTCATTGGCCACCGCCGATTGCTTAATATGAGTGGGCGGTGAGTAGTGACGCCTGTTGGAGGTGTGAAAACAAATATCAAGTATACGAACAAAACATTTTGGTACTGGTTACTTACTTGGACACCGCAAAGGAAGCAGGCGCCCGTTTGGTGGCCACCTCCATGAGTTTTCTGCTGCGGGTCAATCCCCAGCACTTTTGTGCTCCCAACAAAGAACGCAGCATCTTGGTTAAATTTAATTGTAAACTTTTCCCCTAACTTTTTCGATTGTAACCCGTCTGCGATTTGACCCCAAATAAAACCAGCTAGTTGCGGAATCAGCTGTTTGGCACAGTGGGCAGCATGATATTCGTATCTTGGTGAGTAATAACATCTGGTAAATTAATGGCAAATTAGAAAATTGGCTTTGTTTAAAGATTTTTTTGAAATTAAAAAGTCCCTAAATATACTTTAGGACAATCTTGTTTCTACAAAAATTGTATTTAGTTTAAGACCAACTTGACTATTTTTTTCCGAAAAACTGTGTCCAGTATATTTTCTCATTGCCCACTGTGCAGCCCAGGCGATAAATAGCAATGACGTCATCGCATTTGTTGATAAATTTAAATCGGTAATGGAGTTCCATAGGCGATTACCTTGAAATTAACACAGTCTAAATCTATGATTCATAAATTAAGATCGAACTATTATACATAGATAAGGGAAGTCCTAGAAAACATGAATAATAAATGGTTTAATTAAAACCATATTTAAAAATGTTGGAAATGATATTAATTGCTATAAACATTAAGGCGTCCAAAAAAATGAAATCTCATTTTAACCTTTTACCCCTGAGAACCTAAAAACAACACTTCTAAATTTAGTAAGTTGGGTTCTTGTATCCCGATTAAGAAGTGGCATATCTCTATGAGTTTATGGTGGAACTCTCTTATAAACTGCATTCAAATATTTCGTTTAAACGATTGTTAACACTAACCCATTTTCATGTACCATTTTTTTCGTTGGCTTTCATGGCTTCCAGAATGAGAACCCAAAACTGAACTTCCACTTTCCGTAAATTGGGTAATAGGATCCGGATCTTAAAGTGGGATGCCTCTATGAATTCCTATTTAAATTCTCTAATAATCTACATTCAAATATTTCTCTTATACAAGGCTCAAAATTTTAACCCATTTTCATGTTTGATTTTTTTAGATTTTCCAATGGCTTTCAAATATGGAACCCAAAACTGCACTTCTAGATCCCATAACTTGGGTAATTGGATCTCGAATTTGATGTGGGATAACTCTATGAGTTTGTGGTTGAATTATCTTACAATCTACATTCATATATTTCTTTTATACGAGGTCAAAATTTTAACCCATTTTCATGTTGGATTTTTCCGTATTTCCAATGGCTTTCAGTATTGGAACCCAAAACTGCACTTCTAAGATCCCATAACTTGGGTAATTGGATCTCGAATTTATGTGGGATACCTCTATGAGTTTGTGGTTGAATTATCTTACAATCTACATTCATATATTTCTTTTATACGAGGTCAAAATTTTAACCCATTTTCATGTTGGATTTTTCCGTATTTCCAATGGCTTTCAGTATTGGAACCCAAATGCACTTCTAGATCCCATTAACTTGGGTAATTGGATCTCGAATTTAATGTGGGATACCTCAATGAGTTTGTGGATGAATTCTCTAATAATCTACATTCATATATTTCTTTTATACGAGGGTCAAAATTTTAACCCATTTTCATGTTGGATTTTTCCGTATTTCCAATGGCTTTCACTATTGGAACCCAAAACTGCACTTCTAGATCCCATAACTTGGGTAATTGGATCTCGAATTTAATGTGGGATACCTCAATGAGTTTGTGGATGAATTCTATAATAATCTACATTCATATATTTCTTTTATACGAGGGTCAAAATTTTAACCCATTTTCATGTTGGCCTTTTCCGTATTTCCAATAAATTCCTGAATAGGAACCCAAAACTGCACTTCTAGATACCATATCTTGGGTAATTGGATCTCGAATTTGATGTGGGATACCTCTATGAGTTTGTGGTTGAATTCTATTAATTTAACCCATTTTCATATTCGATTTTAGATTGTTAAAGAATTCAGCCACAAATTCAAAGAGGTATACCACATTAAAATCGAGATGCAATTACCAAATGATGGGATCTAGAAGTGAAGTTTTTGGTTCCTATTGTGAAAGCCATCCAATGGCTCATTAGCCCATTTTCATGTTCGATTTTGTTTAAATGTTTATATTTACAAAACAAAATATACCTTCAATCGAAAAGTAACTACCGCAGAGTTACCATTAATGTAGCTCCTTTATTTGAATAAATTAAGTGGAATTCAGTACAACAAAACCCTTTGCTTAGAGATTTAATTCCTTGAGCGCAAAGTTCAGTACCACCGGTAACATACCGGCATCTTCCAGATCCAGGATCTGCTGCCGGAGGTTATCCACCGGATGGGAATGTATCATCTGCAAGATGTTATTAACACAAAATCCAAAGTAAAAGCCACTTAAACAAACCTTTTTGATCTTTTGCCGCTGCTCGGAGTTCTGGCAAAAACTGAGCAGTGCGGCGGCCATGTGGGGTCGATGGACAACGACGCAGTGCTCGGCGAACTGCAGCAGATTGAGGGCATGTACCACCGGACACCCCTGCAAGCGTAGCAGCGTCTTGTGCAGCACCTCCTCCTGCGCGAAGGAGCGCGTCTCTACGGCGTTCTTCAGGGGATTGCAGAGCACATAGTCCCAGGCCTTGGCCAGTCCGTCCAGGTGCAGCAGATGGGGCCGGCAGCTGAGCACATCCAACAAAGCGTTGAGCTCCCGCACCATGTGGAACATGACCATTCGCTTAAGGATGCCGTTCCAGATTTGCGGCAGGTGTATATCGAAGCCCAGGCAGATGTTGGCCATTACCTCCAGCGACAAAGGATTCTGGGCATTGCGCTGCCAGATCATCTTCAGAATGTCAATCTTGTTGCAATGGTCGTCGGAGAACTTCTCCAAGTTCGACTTGTAGCCCAGAGCCTTCAGCTCGTGCACACACTTGATGCTGATGAATTGGCGTTGGTTGATAGTGTTGGTGAAAGAGTTGCTGCCATCGTTCAGCTTGGAGTAGCACTCGTACATTTGCAGCTGTGTGGAGGTGTTTACCGAGCTAATGGAAGAGAGTTTAATAAATTATTCCGGTTGACTATCTCAAACCAATCCTTACCCTCCCTTGAAGATCAGACCCACAAGGAACTTGACCGCCTCCGCCTTTGGCCAACTGGAGAGTATGTAGAAGGCTCTGTTCACATTTTCGCTGGCATCCTGGCTGCTTGTTCCGTCCGCGCCATTTGCCTGCTCCGGCCAGTTCTGCTCCTCCATAAAAGTGTCCTCCAGAATAGTACCGTCAGCCGTCGGCTCCATGGTCAGTGAAAGCCACTTCTGCAGCAGACGGTACTGAATGGTGGCCAAGCAGAGGTCATGCAACTTGACGATCTCCGCGACGAGGGCGTTGATGTCTACTTTGCTGGACTTCAGAATCAGCTCGTGGTGGTACAGGGCGTGAATGAGCTCGGTGGGATTCTCAACCTGTCGCAGTAGCTTTTCGTCGGTCATGCCGTAGACGTATAGCAGGTGCTGGGTCTTCTGAATGGGATACCGCCGCTTGACCTTAGAAATATGATCTCGAGTCTTCGGATCGGTAAGCAGATGGCACCTCTCCTTCACGAACTTCCAGCACTCGTAGGAGGCCTCCACCTGGTCTGCTCCGTCCCGAGCATAGTTGGATACAAAGTACAGTATCAGGAATGCCTTGTTGGGGTTGTTCACTTTCTCGACCAACCGAAGAATCGACTGAAGAAACGCATTATTCGTAGGAAGAAGACTCCACGACTCCGATTCATTTTTCGATTTGTACTCCGATATCGAATTCTTCACTGCCGACATGCAGAAATAGTCGCAGTTCTGGGAACTATCCTTGGCTCCCTTCAAGGCAGTGTACATCTGAATCAGTGGGAACCAGCTTGGCAGTTATCCACGCTCAGTTCGCTGTCTGAAATTAAACAAAAGAAAGCGGTAAACGGGAATTTTAAACATTTTATAATATCTAATTAGTATACCGAGAATATCCTTGAGGGGTTGCTCTACGATAGGCTTAAAAGGCAGACGGTAACGAGATATCTTTGGCATGACGCCGTTTTCCCTCTGCGATTTGAGCCACATGTCAGTCTCCACCTGGCCCGGCCGATTGCGCCTCCGAGTTATCATCTTATGCCGCAGGAAGTGCAAAATGTTCGTCCAGATCTCCATCTCCTTGGGCGCCGCATCGAAGTACATTAGGATGTTAATCACACACATGTACAACTCGTAGAAATAAATGTTGATCTACATGATAAGTAATTGGTTAAATACCAGAATGGGAAAATATTACCGCAGTGAACTTACTTCTTCGATGAAGTGTTTCAATTTGGAGACAAATAGCTCTACGTTTTTGAGTTCATTTATGTACGGCTGACACATATCTCGCATTTCTTGGGCGCTGCTCAGCATTACCAGTTCCTCGTCGCCGAAGGTGTCTCTCTTGACCTCGAAGCGAAGCTCCTGGGCACTCAGAATGCTCAGTATCTGGGTTATGAGAATCTTCTGGTAGTCAAAGCCAAAGTCCTTGCTCATGCGTTCCAACAGCTGCACGTCGAGCTGCTTATTGTGGAACTCCTTGAGCAGGTCCTCCACGTTGTCCATGTCCGCGTTGAACTTGCCCTTGATCCTGGGATCCTGCTGACAGAACTCCAGATAATAGAAAAGTTTCAAGCGCCTGCGAATACATCGGAAATTGTAATAAAGATTTATTAAAAAAATTTTCATCCACTTACTTGGCGCGTATCAATTGCACATTATCCAAATCTTCGATGTGGTCGTGGTACATGGCGGATAACGTAAGGAAGTTGATCTTTTGCAGATCTGTCTTCACCTCCGTGGAGAGCTTTTCCAGGAGAGCCAGTGCCTCGCTGTCCACCACCAGCATGGTAAAAAGTTCTATAAAGTTGGCCTCCTTGGTTCCCATTGCGTTGCGGAATATGCGGCGCAGCTGCAGCGTAATGAAGCCCTCGTTGATGATTCGCTTCTTCCGGCAGTTTTGCTTCTGGTAGTCTAGCAGGTATTGCGACATCACGTACCAAACGTCGTGTTCCTTGGCCTTCGTCAGGTGTTCCAACGACAGAAAGAAGTCCGCACGAGCGCTGTCGAGATCCGCCTTAGTGTTCTCCGCCAGTCCATTGCGCACCTTCATCAACAATGAGTTGCTCGGCTCCGATTCGATTACCATGAGCAACAGGGTGCGTGCCAGGAACTTCACTATAGCCATGTGGCCGCCGATGCTCTTCTGTGAAAAGTATTAAAAAGGCATTGCAATTACAATATTTTTAAATTTGTATACGATCCTTACGTTTTGCTGCGGCTGCTGTACAGGCTGCACTTCTACCTCCTCAAACATTGACACCGAATGTCGCTTCTCGTCATTGTCGGCACCTGCAGGGTTTTCACGTCAAAGGATCCGTTAAGGGGAATGGTGAAATTCAGTGTAGTCTCGCCTACGGCCACCGTAATGCCATCGAGGGCCCGGCAAATGTGCTCGTTGACGGCCTGCTCCTTGCCGTCGTAGTGAGTCTTAATGGCATCCAGTGGATAGTGGATCACAGCCACGCGTATGCATTTGATCAGTTCCACAAGGTCCCGACGACGACTGTCCTCATGAAGCAAGGCGGATGTAAGTAACTCGTAGGCCAAGAAAAAGCTAAGGGGATCGGTCTCATTCATTAACTGCAGCGAAGATGCCGATTCTGTATTAAAAATGTAAGGGATAATCATCAAATCAAGACCGAAAGCTGTTGGCAAAGGATTTACCCTGGTTCTGTCCCTTGGCGTTTTCGATTTGCTGGACCAGCAGCTCAAGTGCTAGGTTGATAAACTCGTCTGCATTGGCGGGCACACAGTCGACGAAGCTCATCACATGGAATGCCAGGGCACAGCTGAGGGGCAGACACCCGATCCGTTGGCAAATGCGGGTCAGGCCAAACACCTTGGACAGACTGAGAGCGGTGCAGAGTTCGCCCATTTCGCTGGCTATAAAAGCGGACACATTTAACGTGGCCTGAGCGCGCTCCATGATCCTCTCAATTGCCTCGTCCAGGAGGCAATGACGCCTTTGCAGCGGTATAAGTTCGCTGCTGCAGCCCACCTGGATTCCGAATTTCCGAAGACGTAAGCGATGCTTTATTACCAAATAGCGTCGCTCGTAAACGGAATCAACATACGGCAAGAACAACTTAAAGAGCTCCAGGACGTTCAAGTGTTCTTGAACCTTAGTCTCGTCCTCAAACGAGGCGGAAGAGCTGTTTTCTAGGAGGTTTGCGATGATCTCCACCACTTCCTGTCCGTTCTTCGAGTTCTTATCCCCGATCAGCGTCTTGAAGAACTCATACGCCAGCTCTATCTGACCACGCCGGGCCATCTGGTAGCAGCAGTTAAAGTTGGCACTGACAGAGATGTCCGGCGCTGCCTTGGTAAGCGCGCCGATGTCCTCCAGCATGTCCGGAAGGTTTAACTTTACGATGCGCATCATGAAAAGTTCCAGGTTGATGTCGGAGCTGTCGGCTGGCCAACCATATTTGACTTTCATGATTTTGATTACCTGAATCTCGTACTCGGCGTTTATCTTTATTGCCAGCGGATGGGTTGATGAACGCAGCCTGATCAGAGGAGCCAGCGTATCCGGCCAGGGAACAGGTGCATTCTGCAGCACGGACAAGGCGCACTCCAACCGACTGTCCTCATTGTGCAGCAGCTCAATGCAAGCCATCGCCCGCTCTAGCCAGGTACTGGAGGATTGCCGACTGGCTACCAACTGTGATATGTACTGCTTGATCACGCCCAGCGGCTGACGGCCCTTCTCTTGGAAGATCGGGTACATGAAATTCTTCACCAGGCGCTGCAACTTATCTAATTGGACGTGCTGCAGAATGCTCAAAGCCGTGGCGTCAATGGAGTCCTGCATGTAGTTGTCCAGTGTAAAGCCCATGTTGTAATTGGTCTTCAGCACGGACAGATCCTGCAGTGCATTGACTAGGTCTCGCAGTTTACCAACGTTGCGCTCCTGCTGCCGCCGGACATCACTGAACGAAATATACGTATTCGGTTTAAGATATTCAAAGAGCAGGAAAGCCTTCTACTTACGAGTAAGTGAACTGCATTTCCTCAAATATATCCAGTATCTTGGTGCTAAACTCCAAGCCGATATCCGGCCAGTGGGGACTGTACTGCAGATTTCGCGTCATCTCAACGCTCCAGTCGGTGATAAACGGCATTATGCTGGGATGCGTGTTGCTAACCATCGGAATAAATTGACGTAGCCACTGGACCACGTTAAAGGGTTTCGTGTTGCTCGGGATGAATCCTAGAAGCTTTCGCAGCTCATCCTCGTTTAGTAACGGCAGGATGCTGCTCGAGTGGCGTCGCCAGATAAGACAGGCCGTGGGCATATCCGTATTAAAGAGCGACTTGACCATCCTGACCAGGTTGTTGTCGTAAATGAACTTCTGCCAGTCCGTGTTGCATTCGTAGGGATCTATGATGGCAAGAGTTTTAAGTCGGTGCAGTTGCTCGTCAATTTCCAACATGTCCTCCTCGTCATCCTCAAAACTCAATCGCTTTTTGACTTCATGCAGATAGCGCTCAAGGATGTGTCTTGAATTCAAGTTGATCATGCGATGACTTTTGATAAAGGCTTTACTTTCCACCTGCGACAGCAACTGCAGCAAGTTCTTGAATTTCTTCTCCACAACAGAGGCATCTTTTTGGGAACTCGAGTTGCAGAGCTCCACCAGAATGCGTTTCGCCTTGGCTTCGTAGATGGGCTGCAGGCACAGTTCGAACTGCTTGCCGAATTCCTGTTAAAAATGGCAATGAATAAATGATAGCTAAAAGATAGGAATCACCCAATTACCTCAGCCTCTTCCAGGCGCCCTTTAGCAATGAGCTTTTTAAAACGATCGCTGGGATCGGTCTCGGAAACGAGCATCATCTCCACCACCGAGGGAATGCTGCTTTGGTTGAGCTCCTTGGCAGCCAGATAATACAAGTTGACCGCACACTTTGGCTGGCGTACAAGCCAAGCGTGATCAGGTACCTCCACCTCGTTTTTTACATTAAGAGCTGGAATGTTTGAAGGATTAAATATATTTCATATCATACTCCTTTCTTGTTTCGTACTTGGATACTCCACTATTTTAATGAAGCGTCCCTCATCCATTGGCTTCGTCAGCACTAGGAGCTCGATGCTCTCTTCACTGCACTCCATGACCAGCAGATCTTCGATGAGCAGATTCTTCCTTCGGGTCGTTTGGCACATGTGAACTGTGCGGGTGTACGGACAAATGTCCAGCAAATGGCCAGAGTTGGTGAGAGCGATTCTAGGGTATACCAAATACATCGTAAGTGACCAGGGACATCTTAAGTCGTCAATTCCACTCACATGTAGTGCTCCAAGTTGAAGATCTGCTTGAGACTGCCGAAGTGAGCGGGCAGATTGATGCGAGTCACATCGCTGGCGGTGCCACTCCTAAAATTCATCGTGCTCTGATCTCCAGAGATGACTAGACCGGGGTGAGTGCCCAGATCCTCCTGATTGTTCTGCGCACTGATGTTGGCGGCCACCAGCTGCTTGAGCAGCACTGCACAGTCCACGTTGCCCGAGGATCGTCCCTTGGACAGGCGTTGAATGGTGACATCGTCGAGTATGGCCTTCTCGCAGGCAATGGTGTCGTTTTCACTCAGGGTCACGTTGCTCAGCGTCTCCAGACTGGACTCGTCGATGTCGCTTAAACTAGAAAACAGGATTGTTTAAGGAAGTCCTCCAGAGGATATAAGGTTTATCACTAGATTCCTACATGTAGACACTGCCGTTCTTGCAGGTGAAGTAGTATCGCTGATCCAGCTGGTGGATGCTCCGAAAGGTGCCGCCCGTGAGACTTACGTCCTCCAGATTGACGGCCACGCTAAAGAGGAGCAGACCCTTGATGAAGACCCCGTGGACCTCGCCATCGCTGAGGCCGCAGACAATCAGGTTGCCACTGGTGGAAATGGTGATGGCCTCTATGGCCGCCCCGAATCCCAGGAAGCTGCACTTGGCCACCAGCTCGTCCTCCAGCAGGAGCAGGCTCTTGTCGATGCCGATGACCATCTTGCCGCACTGCACGGAGGCCAGAACATCCGGATATTTGTTAACCTTGGAGGGAAACAAAGGGAAACTTGAACTCTAACTGTAGATCCCGCGCCACAAGGACTCACTTCCTCCTCGCTGCTTATCTGGAAGATGCCGCGCGACGAAAACACATTGGAGATGGTCTCGTCCTCCACCGAGGATGCCTCGAAGTTGCTCCACATCGCTATTAAATCCGCGCTGGCTCAAGTTGCAAAGTCTGTTCAAACTCTTTTTTTAAACACCGCCAATAAACAAGCGTCACCTGGGGGTCTCCGATAACTTTACCTGCCTATCGATAGGCGATAAATTCCATACTTTAAAGAAATTAGAGTCCCCTGCAACTAATTACCTTCAGTAAACTAATTAAATTACCTTTCTAGCTCTTCATTTCACCTTAAAACCCTTTTAATTTTCAAATATCCACCGTATTAGCAGGCCGCCTCGTGCTCGCCCGCTCTGGTCACTCCAGACGGCCGCTGGAATTCCGGCATTTCGCTCGACGTTGACAAACGGCCACACTGGCGACTTGCGATGAAAATTATTTATATTTCGCTTCTTCGCACGCAAAAATTGGTCAAAATAAACAAAGGTTAATGTGCTGCTGCTCAATAACGGTACAGTGGTCAGTCCGCCGGACCGCCGAACGCGCGTAACGGTAAGCCGTGCGTGTGCCGCCCCGAGAATCGGCGCTAATTAAAAGTGGATGCTGTAGCGGCCATCGGAATCAACAAAAAGCCAACCGAAAACGCAGGCTATTCTCCAAGCGATTAAGCCAACTATTTCTAACCGCCGGTTGTCTTGTGCCCCGATTAAGAGTAAAAGTAAAGCGAGAAAGTGAAGCCCGTAAACAAACAACAGTTAAACGCTGCACTGCAATTAAAACGGAACGGGAAACGCAGCGGAGGACATAAAATCGGTGGCAAGAAGAAGAGCGCTGCCCAGCAAGCGCCTTTCGCAGGGTTAAAGGAGGGAAATCAGTGGTGAACTTAAGTGCAGAGTGCTAGATAGACGTAATCCCAGGTAAAGTGGTTAGAAGTCCCTGAAAAGCCAAGAAGCGGCAGGTGCTTGGCGCTTTTGAAACGAGACAACACGACGCTGGGTTTCCAGCGTAGAGTTGCCAACCCGAAAAAGAAACGGGGTTGCCGTTCGTTGTGCCGAAAGTGTTTACCTGCTTTCCGTGGGCCAATTGCTTGAGGGAAAGCGATTTTCCTAACGATCCTGGCCAGGAGATGAGTTGGTGAGTAGTTGACTTGGCCCGCAGCACACCCGATACTCATTTGCACCCTCCACTCCCCCAGGAACTCGAACTTCAGGCGGTCCCAGGCCGGATAACCGGCAAAAAGCCAAACCCACCGATAAAAACCCACTGCAGTTGGTCAACTAAGGCTCTAGGGGATTAGCGCCCGCCTCTCATCGACTCCACTCGCCACAAACCAGCACTCCTTCACCAGCGTCGAGATCTCCAGCGCGGGATTGGCGACGCCGCTACAACCGAATTTCTTGCCCCACGCCGTTGAAGAAAAGCTGCCACCATTAGGAAGAAGAATACCTCGAATATGACCCACAATCTTGGTATGGCGCCATATCGATTGCCGGGTCCAGCGGGCGGACTGTGTCCGCCCGACTTCAAGCCGCCGCCTCCGACGGACATCATCTCGGCGCCGAGCAATCCGAAGAAGCGGCGGAAAACCTCAAGTGCCGCCAATTCCGCTGCGGCGGTGGCTGCTGCGGCGGCTGCCGCAGCCGCTGCTGCGAACTCCATGCAGCAGCAGCAGGCGCCACCCACGCCGCAGGATCTGCTGCCCCCTCCGCCGATGGGAGGCTTTGGAGACACCATTATTGCCTCGAATCCGTTCGACGACAGCCCCCAGGTATCGGCGATGTCCAGCTCGGCGGCCGCGGCGATGGCGGCCATGAACCAGATGGGCGGCGGTCCGGGAGGTGGTCACTTTGGCGGCGGTGGACCGGGAGGCCATCCGCACTGGGAGGACCGCATGGGCATGGGCGGCGGACCGCCTCCCCCGCCACACATGCATCCGCACATGCACCCGCACCATCCGGGCGGTCCCATGGGTCATCCACATGGCCCCCATCCGCACATGGGTGGTCCGCCTCCGATGCGCGGCATGAGCCCTATGCATCCCCATCAAATGGGACCGGGACCAGGAGTCGGACTTCCACCGCACATGAACCACGGAAGGCCCGGAGGACCTGGTGGCCCAGGAGGACCCGTGCCAATGGGCAGTCCCATGGGAGGATTGGCTGGCATGGGTGGCATGAGCCCCATGGGCGGAATGGGAGGCCCCAGCATATCACCCCATCACATGGGCATGGGCGGTCTGTCGCCCATGGGTGGAGGTCCTAATGGACCTAATCCGCGAGCCATGCAGGGCTCTCCGATGGGCGGTCCGGGCCAGAACTCGCCGATGAACTCTTTGCCCATGGGCTCGCCGATGGGCAATCCCATTGGCAGCCCGCTGGGGCCGCCTTCCGGACCGGGGCCTGGAAATCCTGGCAATCCCGGCGGCCCACAGCAGCAACAACAACCTCCGCAGCCACCGATGAACAATGGGCAGATGGGTCCGCCGCCTTTGCACAGTCCACTGGGCAATGGACCCACCGGACATGGCAGTCACATGCCCGGAGGACCTATCCAGGGCCAGGTCCTGGGCCCGGCGGTCTTGTGGGACCCGGTGGCATCTCCCCCGCGCACGGCAACAACCCGGGAGGTCCTGGGAACAACATGCTCGGCGGGAATCCCGGTGGCGGCGGCAACAACAACAACGGAAGCAATACAAACAACGCCAGCAACAACAATCAAAATCCTCACCTCTCGCCGGCAGCCGGACGCCTGGGAGTGCCGACGTCGATGCAGTCGAATGGACCTTCGGTATCGTCGGTGGCCTCCTCCTCGGTACCCTCGCCCGCCACGCCCACGCTCACGCCCACTTCGACGGCCACGTCGATGTCCACGTCAGTGCCTACATCCTCGCCAGCGCCGCCCGCCATGTCACCGCACCATTCGCTGAACAGCGCTGGTCCCAGTCCGGGCATGCCCAACTCCGGACCCAGTCCGCTGCAGTCGCCCGCCGGCCCCAATGGTCCGAATAACAACAACAGCAATAACAATAACAACGGACCCATGATGGGCCAGATGAACCCGAACGCAGTTCCTATGCAGCACCAGCAGCACATGGGCGGCGGCCCACCTGGCCACGGAATGGGCATGAACCAGATGCTGCCACCGCAGCAGCCGTCGCACCTTGGTCCCCCGCATCCGAATATGATGAATCACCCGCACCCGCATCCTCATCCGCACCACCATCCCGGCGGACCACCGCCGCACATGATGGGCGGTCCTGGGATGCACGGAGGACCTGGAGGAATGCCGCCACACATGGGCGGTGGACCCAATCCGCACATGATGGGCGGACCTCATGGGAACGCGGGTCCGCACATGGGCCACGGCCATATGGGCGGAGTACCAGGTCCAGGACCCGGACCCGGTGGCATGAACGGACCCCCGCACCCGCACATGTCTCCGCACCACGGACACCCGCACCACCACCACAATCCAATGGGCGGACCCGGACCTAATATGTTCGGCGGTGGTGGAGGCGGTCCAATGGGACCCGGAGGACCGATGGGAAACATGGGACCCATGGGCGGCGGACCGATGGGCGGCCCCATGGGCGTGGGTCCCAAACCGATGACAATGGGCGGCGGAAAGATGTATCCCCCGGGCCAACCGATGGTCTTCAACCCGCAGAATCCAAACGCGCCGCCCATCTATCCGTGTGGCATGTGCCACAAGGAGGTGAACGACAACGACGAGGCCGTGTTCTGTGAATCCGGTTGTAACTTCTTCTTTCACAGGTAGGTTTCGACTATCAATAGAGAAATTTGCTTTAGTTTAAGCTAGTAAATAATAGTAATTGGCTTAGGCTGTTGACTTGCGATTAACTAAACCAAATTGGTTGTCACAATATATACAATTAAATTGGTCAGATCCGAATACAATCTTAATATCTAAAATAGGAAACCAAATTCTTCATATTATTTAAACTGAGGTATGTTTCTAGGAAATCCTTAGTAATCATTCTAATCAAATGTCCTTGCTAATTCAAAATAAACTGGGGAATTAACCATACCTAACATATCAACATTGCGAATCACAGGGGTTTCCGAAAATCTATTGATATCATTAACTAATTCCTGTATCATCTTTGCAGAACGTGTGTGGGCCTGACAGAGGCGGCCTTCCAAATGCTCAACAAGGAGGTGTTTGCCGAGTGGTGCTGCGACAAGTGCGTGTCTTCCAAGCATATTCCCATGGTCAAGTTCAAGTGTTGAAGCGGGCGGGAATCGGAATCAGCGGAACCTATCGATCAACACCCAACAAAAGCATCAGCAACAGCACCAGCTAGCACTCACTCACTGTATAAAATATCCAAGCATTAACTCTATCTTAATTGTAAGACTTAAGCTGCTCAATAGTCAAGACCCCGACCCCGACCGATCCTGCGACCCACCAGTACCGCCCCCGGAAATAGGAACCCATAACCAGTAAGCGACCCACTAAAGTGCCGGAGCAGTGTTGTGACTTTCAGCTCCGGGCTCCTGGCTCACTCGCGACATCCTCCTGAAACAAATAAGCAAAGCAAACCTTAACGAAAAGTGTAAACGAAATATGTTAATTGTAATATAATTGTAATATGTATGTATGTCTGCATGTGGAGTAATCAATCAGGACAAGACCCGCGACACAAAAACAGAGAAACAATCTAGTTTGTATTATACAGAGAAATTGGATGAAATTATCGAGCGAACAGGCGGGGTGATGATGCACATCTCCACTCGAATACCAGTCGCCTGGCAAAAAGCCCACAAAACACACAACGGAGAACCACTCGTAACTATATAAACATATATCTATTGACATATTCAACACATTTGAGGATGAGTATAGAAATTGTAACGAAATGAAATTATCATTGTGAAATTGCTGCAACCTGCGTGAGTGTGTTATATTTGTTATTACGAACCTATATTATTTTTTATACTTGCGTGCGTTTACATTTTAAATAATTAATACTGAAAGTGGCTCGATCGATCGAAAGACGATTATCGTCGGATACATTTTACACGAAAATATTCAATATAGCCGGAATCGGAGAATGTGAAATAAGGAATCGATTGCGAGCAAAGGCACAAGAAATTATAAATTGATGCGAGAGAGATAAATTTGTAATCTAAGACGAATGTTGAAAACGCAGCGAAAATAAACGATTAAAAAACAAATTTGTAAAAATAGGAAAAACAAAAAGTACTCTAGGTTACTGCAACTTTAAGTTATTTATAATTAAATAAAATACGATATAAAATAAAGTAAGAACGAGTTATGAAGCTATTTGTTATTGGAGGTATGGGTAAAAAATACAACATAAAACTTTCCATTTGAAGTCATCTTTAAAGAAACGCCATTAAAT